GAAAGATACCACAATAGTAGAATGAGACAGCAAAGCATATTATGCACAGGGCTAAACCGTTAAAGTCAAATTGTACCGTGTTCTGTTTAGCTTGAAACTATTTGCAGTTGTTTTTTTCAGTCACGTTGAGATCCAGCTCCATTCACCCATTTGGAGTTTTCTTGGCAGATACGGGAGTGGTTTGCCATTTCCCTCTCCAACTCATTTTACAGATGAGGAAACTGAGGCAATCCAGGTGGAGTGACTTGTCCAGGGTCACACAGCTAGCACATGTCAGGTTCTATTTGAACTCAGGAAGATGACATCTTCTGATTCCAAGCCCAGTGTTCTATCCATTGTGCCACCTTCCTGCCCAGCTAGCTTAAAACTATGGCAAGAACAAATTGCATATGCTTTAAATTTGCTCTTTTAAAAACATTTCTATTACTATTCTTTTACATTATTAAATACCTTACTGACACTCTTTTATGATATCACTATCAATTCCCAATAGCTCTGTCCCCTGGGACCTCACAACATGCACAGTAAGTAGAACCCTGCCTCATAGTGAGTGCAGCTGAGCAAACCAAATCCACATTTTGGCCATGTTGAACAGTAGACCTTCAAAGCCATTTAGTCTGACCCCCACATTGGGCAGTTGTTTGAAACTGAAAACCAGACAGGCTACCCAGATAGGAAGAGAGCTTGAACTCAGAACCCAAACCACAGCCAGCATTGTCCGCTGTATCATGTTGCAGGCTTCAACGGCTCACTGAAGCCTTAGCCACCGGCTACCCTCACTGGAGTTCTGACATTTTGCAGTATTACTTTCTTTACATTATTGTGGTTACTCTAAAAATTGCTCATCAGATTCTGCTCATTTCTCTCTGTATCCGTTCATATGAGCCTTCCTAAGTTTCTCTGAATTCCTCATTTTAAAAACTGCCTTTTCAGTGTTAACCTTTCCTCTTGTGGACTCTCTCTCTCTTATCACCATGTGGTTTTTGGAGGGAAGAGGTCTAGTTTGGGGTTCGTTTTTGTAGGGAGGTAGCTCTCCACCCTGAAAGCTGCTCTCCACGGTTGACATTTCTGAGCCGTGTGGGTAATCTATGCAGCCAGAAGCAGGCAATTTAAATCCTAATAGGTCAGACTGAACTCTGCTTTAAGCGTCTGTGATTTCTGCAGGAATATCTGTAAACAGCAGAGCTATATTGGCTTCTGTGGCTAAATGATTACAGTTACTACTTTAGTGGTGTTTTTACACCCAGAAGCACCTTCAAAATTGCAGTGTGTGTGTGTGTGTGTGTGTGTGTGTGTGTGTGTGTGTGTGTGTGTGTGTGTGTGTGTGTGTCCATCAACCTAGCCAAGGGTCCGGACTAATCACTGCTACAGCACTGGGAAAGGCAAAGGGCAGGCAGCCCTTCACTCCTGAAGAAACTCAATTTTGTAAGCCCAGTCCAAACCCATCAGGCTGTAGTTTATTCTGAACCTTGGACTTAGAAGGAAAGATTTCACCGACAAGACACATTTTACCAGCACACCATCATAATGCCTGTCATTCTAAGATGAGCTTTGACACAGCCTGACGTCAGCTGGGGGGGAGGGGAGCAGGAATTCTTCTAGTTTGGCAAAAATAGATGCTAATAATGAATCCTGGGTCCACTGCCTTCAGGTACAGGGTGCCCATGGAATGGGCTAAATTTTGCCGGGTATTTCTCCCCTTTCAAATGGAAAGGGAATTCAATAGAATTGGGGACTTTGTGGTATAGATAAGAACTCTTCCTAGACAAGTATGTGTTAATGTGTGTTTTAATGAGTCTTTCATGTTTGAAGCATTTCTTTTGCAATAGAGGAAATGAATAGGTATCCTATATGTGATATCTACTTTGTACTTTTTCCTAAAAGAGACTCTGTTAATCACTTTTAGGGAAGTCCCTAGATGTGAGCCTTACTAAAGTTTTTATTTAAGCGATCTTTCCAGAAACTCTGGGGTGAATGGGGGTGACAAGCCAAAGAATGCAAGAAAAGCCTCCAGGCATACCTCAAAGATATTGTGGGTTCAGTTCCAGACCACCATGATAAAGCCAATGTCACAACAAAGTGAGACACATGGATTTTTTGGTTTCTCAGTGGATATAAAAGTTATGTTTACACTCTACTGCAGACTATTGAGTGTGCATAGTATTATGTAAAAAAAATGTACATACTTTAATTAAAAGTCTTTTTACTGGTGGAGGATCTTGCCTCACGCTGAAGGCTGGGGTGCCTGAGGCAATTTAAAAAAATAAGACAATAATGAAGTTTGCTGCCTCGATTGATTCTTCCTTTCACTTGAACACTTAGAAGCCATCATGGGGTTATTAATTGGCCTAATTTCAATATCCTTGTGTCTCAGGGAACAGGGAGGCCTGAGGAGAAGGAGGAACACTGGAGCAGCTTACCTGAGAGTAGTCAGGACACACACAACATTTATCAATCAAGTTCACTGTCTGACACAGATGCCATTTGTGTGCCCCAGAACAATTACAATAATAACATCAAAGATCGCTGATCACAGATCAGCATAACAGATATAATAATGACAAAAAAGTTTAAAATACTGTGAGAATTACCAAAATGGGACACAGAAGCACAATGTGAGTACGTGCTGTTGGGAAAATGTTGAGATAGATTTACTCGACATGGGGTGGCCACAAACTTCCAATTTGTAAAAATCTCAATATCTGCAACGCACAATAAAGGGAGGTGTGCCTGTATTCCCCTCCCTTTGGGTTCAGGCTCCTCTAAGGCTGAACCTTATCCATTTGAACTCAGAAAGAGAAATCCTTGTGGGAAACTCCTCCTCCCTACCCCATTCCAATTCTCCACCCCTATCTCCAGCTATTTATAAGACGGACAGATTGGAAAATAAAAAGTATATTACTTTCTTGAATAATTTCTCATGAGAGTGTGGGAATCCAGGAGAATACATATATTACATGTATATGTGTATTCTATACAGATATATATATATATATATATATATTAGATATGTATATATGTACGCATACCATGTTTCAAACCTTAAAGCTCTCAATAAATGTTAGCTACTATTATTTCAATTAATGCAATTGGAATTTCTAGTCTTACTCTCTATAGAGCAGGTAAATTTCTCCCATAAGCACTGTATGTCCAATACTGTATGTTCTGGTCACTCCTGGTGAAAGGCCAAACCTGATATTCTGGCAATTGTAGTAACTACCAAATTATAAACATAGTGCTTCAGAGAAACTAGCTAGCCTGCCTCTCAGGTCTGCTACGTTGTGTAATTCCCTCTGTTTTTTAGGGATGCTGAGCATCATCCCTGCTTTTGGCCAGCTAAGTCTCTGCCTAGAGAAAACAAAGTAATAGGAGAATTGGCTTCATGGAATCCATGTAGCCAACCTGCATGGATAACCCTGGTGGAAAAAAAAAAAGCTACTCTTATGATGCCCACTTTTGGAAGCAGGCTTATGTCATCGAAAGAACACTGGATTTGGCACTGGAGGACAAGAGCTCAAATCCCACAATCAATACTTCCTATACTCATTTCCCTTCTCCTTGTCTCAGATTCCTCCTGCACAGATTGAGGGGGTTCAACTATACATCAGATTGAGAATAAGAAGGAAACCCTGGGACCATTTGTTCCTGACTCCTCTCATTTGAACAGATGAGGAAACTGAGGCAGGGCACAGGGGGAATTTGAAGCCAGGTCCCCTGACCCTTAAGGCAGTAATTCTTCCACCTTCTCCCAAGGTTTCTTCTGTATCTCCATTCTTTTCATCTGCTAAGCGTCCCCCTCCTGTGGTTTCCACCCAGTCTCTCTAGGTCAATAGGTTTTGAGCATACAATGGAAGTTCTCCCTGCTCGGGGACTCTCAGGTGTGTAAGCCGCTGCTGACATAGCTATTTCCTACACAAACTGTTTTTAAAGGGACATCACCTTTTTACTACTGAACACTTGAAATTTTTTTAACCTAAGAGAACACATTTTCAGAGTAGTTTATTCTCAACTGTTCAGCTACGATGGAAAAGCTAGGGTCAGGGAATGGGTGATTGGATTTGAAAAACTTTGTGCCTTCGGACACATTTTCTCATTTTGGCTTCACAACAACTGTGAGATAGATGGACAAATAGTATTTCCTGCGGTTTATAGATGAGGAAACTGAGGCACAGTAATGGGAGAAAGTGATGAGAATGGGAGTTTGAAAAGGAATCTCTTCTAATCCAAGTCAAATGTAAGCTCCTTGAGGGCAGGCTTCATATCTCCAGAACCTAGCACAGTGCTGGGAACAGAGCAGGCCATCCTTGCTTGTCTCATCCTGACTGTTAAAGCCTAGCTTCCAGAAGGCAAGTCTCTGACAGCTCTTATCTTTGCATACTTTGTAATGCCTCATTAGATAGACAGCATTGAATTAAGACCTCCTGAATGACTACTTACATTTTGTTTTTTTTTAATTTCTTCTTTTCTTTCTTGTCTGCATCCTCCCCACCCAGTAGATTGTAACCTCTCGAGGGCAAAGAATATTTCATTTTTTTGTCTTTGTATTACTACCCAGGACAGTGCCTGGCACACAGTAAGTGCTTAATAAATGCTTAATGATTGATTCTAAAAAGGAAACTCTAGCCATCCTCCTCTAGGAGTATTTTTTTGAAATGCAGGTTTGCTATAAAAAACATGAGTTTATTGAGCATTGATGTGAGGAAGAATCTCTGTGTGGGTTCACCATGAGATGGAAAAAGTGTTCTGATCTGTCAGTGAGATAATTTTTTTTCCCTTTTGAAAATGAGTTTTCATGTCTTCAAGAGACTTTGTGGAGGAAAGAAATGTCCTGAGAGCCCACATACTTTCCCCTCTAGTTCCTATCTCTGTGGCAGTACTGAGGAAGAATATTCTTAATTAAAGCTTGATGATAATATTCATGGATTCCTGTTTTCTAGACAGAAAAAATGTATACAATTGTCACATTGGTACTATCAATATAATTCCTTTTCTTATTCTAGGAATCTTGGAAAATCAGGACTCAGAGTTTCCTGCTTGGGCCTTGGTAAGTAAATTCACTGGGGAGGGGAGGTGTTGCCTCAGTCAAATTGAGGCCTGTTAAAGACCTTAGCACAAAGGCCAAGGTCTCTCACTGCATCCAGGACCATCTCCAGTTGTCCTGATCTATATCTTGCCACTGGACCCTCAGGGTTCCAGAGGAGAAAGTGAGGCTGGTGACTTTGCAGAGCCCTTCCTCACTTAATCCAATTCACTTGCATGTCATGGCATCACCTCCCTGATCTCACGGTCCTCTTTTCCAGAATGAAGGAGAAACAATAACCTGGGCATGGGGAGGGAGATTAGCATTAGGCAGGATTGAATGTAATGTTGTTGCTCAGTCCTTTCAATCATGTCTGACTCTTTGTGACCCCATTTGGAGTTTTCTTGGCAAAGATACTGGAGTGGTTGGCCATTTCCTTCTCTAATTCATTTTACAGATGAGGAAACTTAGGCAAACAGGGCTAAGTAGCTTACCTAGGGTCACACAGTTGGTAAGTGTCTGAAGTCAGACTTAAACTCTGGAAGATGAGTCTTCCTGACTGCATGTCCAACATTCTATCCACTGCAGCACCTAGCTGTCCCTTGAATGTAAAGTAGGTAAGAGTTAATATTGACCTCACCTCCACATTGTTACCCTTTCCACCTTTCTCACTTTTCTGTGTCCTCTCTCCCCCAAACCAGGAAGCCCAAAGTGTAATTGGCAAATTTATTCATGGCAAAGAAGATTTAAAAGGTTATTCCTCCTAGTCAGGTTTGAATTTGGAAAGAAGGCTGAGTAGAGCAGGCAATGCTTAATAATAAGAATGAGCCTCTGATGATAGAATTTAGGGTTGGGGTCATTGTTTGGCCTAGAGGTCTTCCAAGGGTCTCTCAAATTACCTAGGAGTGGCTATTGCTGCTAAGACCAGCCCAAATGTCAGGAGCAAATCGGTCCTGTTCAAATTCAAACAGCTTCCTGGAGTCTAAAGTCATTAGGAATGTTATTGTGACCTAGAGATAAGCAACATAAATAAATCTCTAGACCAGAGGAAATAAATTACACTGCCTTGCTCTGCATTTCAGACATCAAATCAAGGCTCTCAACCCCTCTAGAGGCTTCAGAAGTAGCTTCTAACTGGATATTTGTTTTCACTTGTGATGCTGAGACAAGTCAGAAGTAGTAGCTTCATATTTTTGTTACTTATAACCTTTCTCTAGAGTTAACCTATCATTGAATGCCCTACCTTATTCTAAGTAGGTCTTAAACTGTCCTGCATATTAATTTGTCATAAATAAGTCCATGCAAATTTAGCTGTTACCACACATGTATTTACTATCGGAAAAACACTTGAAATATTTACCAACAATATAAAACGTACAAAATGGAAATCACCATGTAAGACTTGTAAATTGCTAGTCTCCATGGCAACAAATACAGTGGGTTTTCTCAATGGAAAAATAATTTGTTCAAGAAGACCATAGAAGAATCAGACCCAAAATGCTAAAAAAACTAGCCACTTTCCCATAGTTGGCTGTAGGTGTCAGAAATTGATTCTCCGGTGAAATGTCATGTGTAAATCATGCCTCCTTCGAAGAATCTAAAGCTGACGTGTTCAAGGACTTTTCACTGCAGGTTGAGCTCAAGTTCTGGTGTAAGTTTTGACATAGTTGAAGTCTGGGGTGAGGGGAGGCCAGTAACATTGCAAATGGCACCTGGAAGCAAACATCTGTGTCCATCCATCCATCCATAGATGTCCATCCACCTGTGCTGGCATCATTTTGAGCAAAAAGACAAAGTTGGACAGTTTTGAATAAGCTTCCTTCTTCAACTTGTTCTCTGTAAACCAGAGAAAAAAAGAAGTTGCCAGGGGACAAATGGCCTTTCTTGGAATCAGGAAGATCCAGGTTCAAGTCCTACATCTGATGCATATGGGCTGTGACTTTGAACAAGTCATTTAACCTTTTATTTCTCTAGGCAACTCTCTAAAATTAGAAGGTGTCAATCTGCATTGGTCGAGGGAGTTTTCTCCATTGGGAGCTCCCAATACCAAAGGTCTAAGTCCTTCCCTCTCCTATAGCTCTTCAGGGAAATAGGACACAGGATACTGAGCCAGCCAGTGTTGACTGAGTACTGCTGGTACTGTATAATTCTTGCCATATCTGCTTTTAAAGGGTTTCCTTTCAGGCCTTTCAGGTCCTTGTGTTTCATAATAGTATAGAGAACCATAGAGATATTTCCCCTACACTCTCAAACAAACAAACAAACAAACAACAAAAAAAAAGGTGATTTTGCTGATGTCAGAAAATGGGAGAACAGGTCTATGGGCGCTGCAAGAAATGAACTGTCAGATATTTATAAGAAGTGATGGAGAATGCACAATAGATGGTATGCTGAATCACCTGATTATTTCCTGCTGAGAGCTTCTCAAATGTAGCATTAAATGTGATTTTGTAGCACAAAATGCAGTTCTCTTGGGCAGCTAGCCAAAGACAGAGTGCTATCTCTTGCCAAATGTTCATATAGCCAGGCAGAAAGTTGATTCTTTGGGCTTAGAAGCAAGAAATCAAAGGAGTAGAAGTAAAACTGAGTCAGCTTAAGACCTCACCTTACAAGAGCCCAAAAGCAGAATATTCCTATGTCTATTTAGGTATGGACAAAAACAGAACCTAGAAAACCTAGGCTAATTCCTTTATTGTACAGATGAGGAAACTGAAATTTAAAATGGGGAAATTATTTGTCCAAGGTCACACAGGTAGCAAGTGGAAGAGGACCGATTCCAATGCAAGTCTCCAGCATTATTTTCTACCAGTCTGGTTAGTGGTCCTGTTGAAATGTATATTCTTTCACTGCACAGCATCATCTAAAGCATTCATTTCACACTTCATTCTCAAAGGAAAGAACTAATATAATTAAATATTGAACACCTTTGAGGATTTATGTTGAGCCTCTAACATAATAGGGAAAAAATGGCCCAGGCAAACTAATCAATGTCAGTATAACACTGAGCCGACCTGTATTGACTGAGTGCCTATGGGACTTACAAGGCATAAGAGGTTCCCAGATGTGAACTGAACACCAAATGCCTCAGTGCAACACCTTGGCAGATGGTGCCTGATTCTAGGACCTATGGAGGTTTAGCTAGTCCTGTGGTTTCTGATGTGGGAGAGGAATGGGGGCAGGAAAGAGAAGAGAAGAACATGTAAACCATTGGAAAGAACATGGAATTTGGAGTCAGATCACCTGGGTTTGACTCCCAACTCATCCACTTACTATTTACCTGTGTGACCTTGGGTCACACATAGCCCCATTGAACCTGATCTATAAAATGAGAAGGCTCTACTCACTGACCCCCTAAAGTCCTTTCCAGCAATAAATCTTTAACCATCTGATCCTAAGAAGGAAAATATTTTTGCTCAGGGATAGGGATTGGTGTCAGCTTTGGATGAGAAAGGACCCCAGAAGGGTAGCCTGGCTGCAGAAGGTTTGGGCACTAGAGATTATCGTAAACTGGTCTCATGGTGCCATATTTAAATTCAATTCTATCAGCACTTATTACTGGCATATTATGTGTAAGGCCCTGGAGATACAAAAGACAGCAATTAAACAGTATCTGCCCTCATGAAATTATAGTCTCCCAGAAGGAGATAACATAGACTAGTAATAATAGTAATAATAGCAACACCAACAATAAGGACAATAGCTAGCATTTATGTAATACTTTGAGGTTTACAAAAGTGCTTCTGAATATTATCTCATCCAAAATAACTCTAGCAGGTAGGTGTTATTATTGTCTCCATTTTACAGATGAGGCTAATGAGGCAGACAGAGGTCAAATGACTTGTCCTGAGTTGTACGGTTAGATTTGAATTTAGGTCCTCTTGGCTTTAAGTCTAGCACTCTACCTACTATACCACTTGACTACTGAAATAGTAAAGACAAAATATATAGAAGTTATAGATGCAATTTTTTGATGAGAGCCTTAAGGACTATACAGTATCAGGAAATTCCGTCCATATGTAATGACACTTGAGCTTTAAAAGAAGCTCCCAAAAGCAGCTGTGAAGAGGTACAACAAAGATATGGGGGCATTGTTTGGACTATTCCATAGAAGGCATTGTGTGGACTATTCCATAGGAGGCATTCTACAGACTATTCTGTAGAAGGCATTGTGTGGACTATTATTCCTTATCAGGAACAGCAAGACCAGGGTCTTGGTCTTTGGCTGGAATGGAGTGCGTGAAAGGAAGACTATTGAGAAATCAGTTTGGAAAGATAACAGCTAGATTGTAAAGGACCTTAAGTGATGAAAATAAAAATGAAAAAAGAGATTTCTGTACTTTATCTTAGAGATCCTAGGAAGTCCTTGAAGTTTTTGGATCAGAGGTGTGATGTGGTCAGACCTGGACTTTCAGAACATGCATTTGGTAGCTGTGTGGAGCACGACAAGAGGAGAGACCATAGAAGGGAGACAAAGGAGAATGCTGTTGTGATACTGTCCATGAAAGAGATGGCAAGTGTCTGAACTAGGCTGGTAACTGTGTGTGTGAAAAGAAAAGTGAGGATTCAAAAGACAAAGGAGATAGAATCCATGACACTTGGTCATCCACTCAATATGTGGAATGAATGAAAGCGAAGAATAGAAGATTTAAAATTTGCAAACCTTGGCGATTGTAAGGATGGTGGTGTTCTTGACATAAATAGAAAATGCAGGAAACAAGGTTGGTTTCTAAGGAGGGGAGAGACCATGACTCTTGTGAACATTGAGGTGTAGATGCTCCTGGGACAATTAGGTGGAGGTGCCTACCAAGCACCTCAGCCTCAGTTTCCCTCACTTTCTTCAATGCTCAGCAGAAGTCCTACTTTTTCCCAGAGGCCTTTTCTGGTCAGTTACCTCAGTTGCTATTGCCTTCCCCTCTAAGATTACTTTCCATCTGTTCTCTATATATCTTAGATTTATCAAGTTCACATATTATCTCAGTACATGAGGTCATTCAAGCAGGGACTAGATTTTTACTTTCTTTGTG